AAGTTGGCCACCTTCGTGCTTCTTCACAAAAATTGGCCTACCATCAACCACACCATTACACAACACCCGTGTGAGTGCTAACAGATCGGACCTGAAATATTTGTAAAGCTACCAAATGAAAAAATGATCCTGAAACTACACATCACTTTTAGCACATAAAATACAGCGCCTCTCCTCCCAATTCCCTTCATAATACAGGACTACCAGCGTTAAAAGTGAGAATATATGCAATATGTGTTTGAATATACAAAGAAATGCGACCTCTGCTTGACCAGATCAACTTTGTTAAGCACCAAAGTTGATGGGATTTGCCGATGACGGTGCAGCATATGAAGAACTCGATGCAGGATATAATCCGTACAGATTGTGGCATCATGCACCACCAGTATATGCTCCGCTTGTTCCACTGCATGTTCCGGATCTAAAAAACAGGTTTCATGCGGTTTAAAAAAAACTATGTGTGGCGCGCCAAATTCGTACTGCAACCTTTTACACAGGACGTACTTGTTGTCCAAATACAACTAGATAAAAAACTACAGCTTCATTCACTAAAAACTTTTTGTTGATAACAAAAAGTTCTCAACAAGCTTCTTAAACCGTCTTGGATACCGAAAATTAATACAGCTTCAAATCCAAAACACCTAGCTCCGAATATTCGTGTGTGGATGCTTTTACTGCGGGTTCTCGCACGGAAAAACCGAAAAAGCAATCGTATGCAAATTCAACTGCAGCTGCGATATCAGCACGCTTTTTCGTCATCATGCATGAACCCCTAAAAGTTTTGTACAATCGAATGGCATGCAGGTTTCTTAGGTACATTTTAACCAGCGAAAACCGACAATTCAGTAAATTCTGGCTTCAGGCCTGGAACAAACTAATTCTTGAATTAATACTTTGAAGGTCTGGGCTGCTCAACCGTCCAAATTATGCAGCTATTTTATCAGTTCCGGATGCGGAATAATTCCGATGCACAAGCGAAACACAGTTTTATGAGACCTCAAATCTAGCTTACTGAACCGCAGGCACAACAAACATATAATACAAAGCGAACTATGCAATACCATTCTAACAAGGTGTCTCACGTACCTAACGCCCCATACCTTTTCAATTCCAATTTTATCAGAGAAATCTCTGAACATGTCCAGGAGAAGCGGAAGTGCCAGCGGTGCGGACAAGCAGAGAAATGACGACATAAAGAAAAAAGACGAGGTGAGAAGCGAAGACAAGGGAACCCAGGCTGGAACGCACCAGGCGGGCCGGTGCGATTATGCGTTTTTGCACTTCTCGTGCC